TTTTTTAGGGTACTGTGCCAGTGTCACCCCATGTCATGCAGTAGAATAGGTCAAGATTTGTACCGGAGTGAGTTCAATGCAGACAGAATGCAAAGTAGATAAAGCAACATACAAATTAAAAACAGAAGTTGCAGCAAGGGAAACTTTGAATAGGTGTAGGAACCCTTTTTTTCAAAATGGGGACAGTGAGGTGACGGACAGGGCCCAGAAGAGGTTTTTGAGGAGGGACTCTCCATCCTTGCACACACTCAGAGAACAGCTGGACAAGACCGTGAGTAACCTGATGCAGCCTCACAGTTGGCCTTGCTCTGTGGAAGTTGTGGTGGGAGTTGTCCCAAGGTCCCCTCCAGCCTGGGGTCACTGGGCCAATCCAGCATTCTTCCCTCCCACTTACTGCAAAGCTGGTGAGCTCAGGAAAACGGATCATTTCCATGCCAACAGAATTTTTTCTTCCTGGCCAATCAAAACAGACATGGATAAGGAAAGGAGGGTGCACACACTTAGGGCGAACACAAAAGTGACAACTGCCTTCTGTGACTGAGGGTGCTGGCTGTGCCTGCCTGTCTGGGGTGGCAGACGTCCAAGCCATGTAATGTTCAGGGCATGCAGAGCACTTGGGAGTCTGGCATGGCTCTGGGAGGTGTCGCTGTTCATTTTAGTACTTGGCAAGAAGTACCCAGCGGAGGCTGAGCTCAGTGGCTTTTTATTCAGTCTGCATCATTTATGAAGTCCAGTGTGTTCCTCTCCCCTTACCCCACCCCCCCTGCCCAAGTACTGAAATGGTGTGCTCCAAGTGTAGCATAAGAGGCTCAAGCTGAAGATGAGGACAAACTTGGTGAGGGTGAGGGTGGCAGAGCATGGCCCAGGCTGCCCAGCGAGGTTGTGGAGTCTCCTTGTGTGGAGACACCCAAAGCCCTGGCCGTGTTCCTGTGTGACTGCTCTGGTGATCCTGCTCTGGCAGGGGTTGCACTGGGGGAGCTTTCCAGGTCCCCTCCAACTCCTGACATTCTGGGAATCAGTGCAGTGCTGTGGTTCTTAGTTCAGATTGACAGAACAGCTGTCAAAAGAGCTGTGTGTTGCCTGCAGAAGCTTAGGCAGCTACTGTGCTCTGGGCCATGGGGGAGCTGAGCCAGAGCTCATTGGGGTGTGGGTTGAAAGGACGAGAGTGTGAAGATGTGAAAGCTGACAATGCAGATGTCATGTGCAAATGAGAGCTGATGGGTTTTTTGGTTAGTTTGTCTCCCCCTCCCCTTTTTTGTGAAGCACACCTGTTTGAAGGCCATTCACGCAGTGTCCCCTGCCTTGTCTTCCCAACTGCTGCCTGCCATTGGGGTGCATTTTTGACAACTGGCAGACCAGACCTGTACTCTGTAGGACTGTGGTGGATGGTGATGTTGCATCTGGCTCTGCCCAGGAGAGGAGCGTGGAGCTGTGTGCGTGTTGCCTGGAAGAAGGGCAGGGGAGCAGACTGTGGAGGTGAGCAGGTTGTAGGAAGAGCAGCTGGGTTCTCTTTCAAGTAGGTTCCTTACTTCTTGGTGTTGGATTCCTCTTTAATTCTGTATTGCTCTAATTGGGCTTGAGCATCCCCTGCAGGTTTGTTTTGTTTCCTAGACATGTTTTCCATTTAAGTAACTTGGGAGCTGGTGACTTGCTAACCCTGATCAGTGTTCTGTGTGACCAGTACACCTCTGGTTCAGTCTCTGCTTTACCAGGCCTCCAGCCAAAGGATGGCTTTGTCAGGGGTGACCTAGCATGGCTTCTACTGATCAGTGGTTGGGGTTGGTTGGTTGGGTTGTTTGTTTTTTTTTTAAGCAGAATCTCTAGAGTGACTTTAAAGAAAAATGAGTTCACACAAAGAGAGAGAGAGAGAGAGAGACACGTTGGAGACAAACACAGCCTGAGAGTCACTTTTACAAGTTTCTTTATGAAATTAAATGTTGCCCCTGGTCTGAGGGGTGGGGGGAGTTATAGTGCAAGAATGGCTTTGTACATGCTACTGAATTCAGCTATCCCTGGCTGACCAGCCTTCAGTCAGCTGCAGCAGTAACCAGCGCGGGACTGCTGAGCTCCGCTGACAGGAAGGGTCACGTTGGAATGAGCGGGTGTCTTCTGCTGCCACAGGCTGCCTCCTAAGCTCAGGAATTCAGTCAGTATGGCTTCTAACTCTCACTATGGTAAGGCAAATCTTTCCTTTTGCTAACCAGGGTTTAAATTAATTCTTTTTTGGCCACAGTTTGAAACCCGGGTACTTAAAATGAGGTGTTTTTTTTTTTTTACTGCCAAATTTAGGCCTTTCTAAAGTGGCTTTCCATTTTTTAAGGTGTCGAAAACCTGTAGTCTTTCCTTTATGCTAACCAGGGTTTAAATTAATTCTTTTTTTGGCCACAGTTTGAAACCCGAGTACTTAAAATGAGGGTTTTTTTACTGCCAAATTTAGGCCTTTCTAAAGTGGCTTTCCATTTTTTAAGGTGTCGAAAACCTGTAGTAATACCTCTTAGGTTGAGAGTCTGTGGGAGTTTGCATAATAACCATGGTTTTAGTCTTTCAGGGTTGAACTGCAGACTCTGACTTCTGGGAGCTAGGCTTGCAAATATTGACATTTCTTAAAAAAATAATAAAATACAACAGACAAAACAGGCATCAAGTTAATGACGTCTGACGAGAACAATTACAGACTTACAAAATACACAGTTCTGATTTTTACCATAAATAAACACATTACAAACAAGGAGCATTTTCATTGGCCAGGAAATATGGCAGAATGATGGAGAGACGAGAATCTAAGGAATTGAGTATGGTATTAATTAGGCACATATTTTTTTTTCTAACTGACGTAACTCAAACCCTCTAGAGAGATTGAACTTTACTCATGCTGCAGGTTGATTGGCACAGTTTAATGTTCTAGAGTTCATCAGTGGTCTTGAACTAAAGGAAAGGAAAAGGTCACAGTGCAATACTCACTGTTGTCTTGTCTGAGTGCCTGCAAAGGCTAACAACTGAACTGGTTAGAAGTGTGGAGGAGGATCATGTCTTGGAGGAACGGGGGGAATGGGGATGGGCAGAGAGCAGAAGGGTTTATCCCTCCGTGGAAAATGTATCATGTCAGTGACTCTAAACTGTTGTTCTGAGCGCGTCGGTGGCCGGGAGCCGGCAGGTCTGTCAGCTGCCGTCCTGTCCCCTCTGACAGCTGCCGGGCAGCAGCAGTGTTCACAGCGGGAAGGAGCGAGTCCAAGTACAGCTGACAGGCAAAATCGTTTCAGATGAAACATGTCAGGCTCCCTCCTGTGATCTCTTCCTGGAAGTTTGCCTCTTGGCCGCTCTGCAAGGCTGGCTCAATGGGACTGGCACAAATGCACGTGTGTGTGCAAGCGCACACGCAGCGTCTCACCTCAGAGCCGGCACGTCAGTCGGGCTGCAAAATAAATAGGGAAGGCAGGAGCACGTGTGCCATCCTCTGTAAACAAAGGATTGGAAGAAGCTGGGCTCCAGCTCCCAGGACTGACAGATAAAGTGCTTTCTCAAGGGGTTCAGGCACAAACGCGGGGCTGCCTTTATTTCCGGAAGGGCGTCAGCCTGCTGATGTTCTGCCAGAAGTTCGAGGGCTTGCGCTTGGGCTCTGCCAGCATGAAGACTTGCTGCTGAGGGAGCGTGGTGGGCAGGGTGGGATGCTTCTGCCGCATCAGGAAGTCGTAGTAGGGCCTGGTGACAGCTGTGAGGAGGAGGAGACGGGGAAAGGCATTAGTTGAGCACAGCTCCCTTCCCCACTCCCTGCCCAGTGCCTGTGAAAGCTGCAGGGGAGGGAGTTGGGTTTGTCCTGGTGTTACCTGTCACTTCAGCACGGTTTTTTGGATTAGAGTTGAAGCTCTGGCGGTCCCAGCAATGTGAAGTGTAACTGTCAGGTTTGCCATCACCACTACAGCAGGGCTAAACAGCCGCAGCTCATCACTAGTGACAAACTTAACTGGTGACTTTGGTTTGGGGAGAAGGAGCTGAAGTGCATGTGGCTCTGTTCCCTGTTAAAACTTTCAGCACTGGATTGCTGAGTCATCAGGGCCAGAGCCTGCAGCCAGAGCTGGCTCATGGGGTCTCCTCTACTGCTTCCCCCCCAGCGCTTTGCTCTGCTAGAGGGTTCTGGCCTCCTTCCCAACTTCCCTCTGCAGCCAAATTTTACTTCAGACTTGTTTTTAAAGTTAGCAAAGCTTTCTTACTGCAGACTTAGCCAGGCTTTAACTGCTGGCTGGTACTGCCAGGAGGCAGTGATTGCCTCTGTGGGTCTAGAGGAAAGCAAGCGACATCTCTTCCTCTGGAGAAGAGGAGGAGTGGTGGCATCACAAAGTGTGGTAGCAGGAGGAGTCTTCAGCTGTGGGTACAGAAACTTGCCTTTCTGTTGCTGGAGTTCCCGCTCCCCTGGCTGCTGCTCAGTCTTCCTTGTCTCAAAGTTTTAATGAACAGTTCTGTCAATGAGCATGGTACCTACCCATGGCATCCTGCAAAAACCACAGCTCTCAAAGCATCTTTCTCGGCTCAGCTGCCCAGGCAGGAATAGTCCTCACTGCGGGGACCTTTATGGACCCTCTTTGCATCACAGAACCATTTAGGTTGGAAAGACCTTTAAGATCTTTGAGTCCAGTCCCCAGTCATGGGGGTTACTCCAAAACTTAATCTTGTCTTTTCATGAAGGCAGTGCCATAGTGCTGGGAGAGCCTGGGGGTGAACGAGTCTTTGAACAGATGTTGCCTGTGTGTAACTGTGGTTTCTGGCACAGGGATGAGGTGCAAAGCAGCTCTCCTGGAGTTAGGAATAGTTTCCTGACTCCAGCCATCTGAACCTGCTGGCAGCTGTACTGCAGATTGTCACACCAGAGCTCACCCCCCGGCCTTCTGGAGAGCTTGCTAAGCACTGAAACCATTCCAGTGTAGGAAATGTAGAACCACCACCACCCCCTGCCCAGTTGTAGCAGCGTTTGTACATTCAGGTGTGACTCACCTTTAGGCTTCCCACTGTGGTGCTGCTTGCTGGCATTCAGCATTGCCTGCTTTTTCTGCACCTCTGTGATTGAAAAACCTTGAACATAAAACAGTTTGTTAGCAGCAGATCCTCATTTTGTGTCTCATGGGAAGATGCAGGCATAGGCAGTAAGGGAAAAACGGGGGTGAGGAAATGCCTGAGGTGAGAGGTCAGAAGCTAAAATTACTCAAAGCTGGAAGGGGCACATACTGCTCCCCCCAGCCTGTGCTCCACAGCTCTCCCTGCCTCTCAAGCAAGGTTTACTGCCTGTCCATCCCACCACGCTTTGCTGCGTGAAGAAGCAAGTCCAGACCAGTTGTGGTTCAAATCTCCCTAGATCACAGATGTCTGAATTAAGTAAGTGGCATTTGGACAGAGCAGGGAAAACCCTTGAGTGAACATTTTTTGTATAGATATTCCCAAGTTGGGCACTCGCACGATACTGTAAAATAATGAAGCTTTATGTAATGTATTGACTTTTTTTGTCAGCCCTGCTGCACTCATTAAAGGCACTTCATCCTCCCTGAGCACGTACTGCAGTGTCTGCTTCTGGTGGTCTGTATTTTTTTTAAACCAGTCCCACACACTGATTCAGAACGTGCAGTTCAGCAGCCCCAGCCACGGCCTCGCAGTGTTGCTGTTCCCATACCTGTCTCCTGGTCGAGCTGAACCTGTCTCCTCTCATTCTCAAATGCCTTCAGCCAGCGCTGTTTCTGCTCGGGCTTCTTTGCACAGAAGAGGTGGACTTCCTCGGTGTCTCTGCAGTGCAACTTAAATGCATTTTTCACGCTGATATTGAAGTCCTTGTCCTTCCCATCTTCTACATCCAGTATTTCCATATCATCCATGTTGATCCGGCTCTTATAATACAGGATGTCCCGGCGCAAAAGGTCCTGTAAGAGAGATCGTACACACATTACCCTTCCTGGCCTGTCCCTTCCTTAAACATTTGTTGTCTTTGCTGTGATGAGTAATTTGATCTTCTTGGCAGTCATTACAGTCCTGTAATAAAAAACTGATACTGGATTTGAGTCTGTGGGATGGCACAGCTCCTGTTGACAGCGGTGGCAGTGAGGGGCACCGCATGGTGGTGGGGTGGCATCAACCGCTGAGGGATAGCGGGAGCTCTGAATGAGAAGCAAGCGTGTGTTCTTACACCTGATCCCAAATCCTCATTGAACCAGTGTCAGAAGATTGCATCTGGATCCTACAGTCTCAGTTAGAAAGCCAAAAAATGCTCATTGGCTTTGGGGTTTTTTTTTTGTGTGCTGACAATGGAAAGTAGATTTGAAAGCAGTGAGAAAACAGTGAGGGTCTTGAGCCCGGAGCTACCTGTATGCTACGGATTATGCAAAAAAAGTGCATGTTCACTTCTGAAGTTGGAATGGAAGATACCTTTCATTTGCTCTATGAAGGAAGATTTATTACTGAAGTTATGAAAAATAGCATGGGTTGTACGTACAGCCTTACATATGATGGTAACGTGGTCTCCCCATCATTGCTCAGAGCTTTTCATCTAAGCTGCAGTTACCTTCTGAATAGGACATTAATCTCACATAGCAGTGAAGTTGGGAAGAAAATAAAATTAAAAGAAAACGGGTGACTGCTTATACTGGAGTTGTGTAAACTAAACCCATACACTAACCCTAGCAGCAGTGCAACGCTTTCTTCTCTTGCTGTGAGATTTAGGCCAGCAGTAGTTGGTTCCTGTAGCGTATTGCTGTGGTCAGGTGCACAGAGCACATCAGAGAACAGACTGCAACGAATGCCCATAAAGATCTGTGCCAGAAGCACCTGTGATACCAGTAAGTATTAAGGAGAAAAAGAGGAGCATTGAAGCAGTTCGCTCAAATTCTTTGGCGTGTTAATAGATGATAGCATCTGTGCCTGGCTAACGTGGTTACCTTCTTACAGCAGACCAGCTGGTGATCAAAGAGGAAGAACATCCTCTGTTGGCTCTTGGCTTGAGGGGGAGAGATTTTGGTCAGCTCCCCGGAATAGATGAGTTCTGAGCTTCTGACCAGGACGTCTTCACCCTGGGAACAGCACAAAGAACAGGTTGGTCTCAGTCATTCCTGC